TAATACTCTTACAGTGACCTCAAGTGTTTCTGTGGCGCTCAATGGTGATTTTATGACGACTGAGTCTGTATTCAGTGTAGGCTAACAATGTGCAGCTTCACGATAATATTCCCAGGCAGTGGTGGCATGTACAATTTTGGGTACTTGTACTTTCCTTGACTTTTTAATACTTTATACTTCTTCTCCACTACAGTGCAGAGGTAAATATTGTAGTTTTAACTCCTACGCTACAATTATCTGACAGCTTACGTTACTGTGAAAATTAAAATGATTAAACAATATAAACTAATGACATGAAAAAGAATGAAACTTCCAATAAATGTTTTTTAAGTGCGTGAATAAATCCAAAATTGTAACTTAGGGTCCTCAGTGCGCATCTGTAGGCGTAGTGTGTGTGTGTGTGTGTGTGTGTGTGTGTGTGTGTGTGTCGCGGGTCTGTCGGATAATTAATCACCGCTGATTATATTGATTGTATTTTATTGTTTTTAAATAGCCGGCTAGTTGAAATAGACCCGCGAAGACCCGCGAAGAACCGCGACGTGCATGCAGTTGTCAGCAGCAGTAATGCACGTATAACTCTGCACAAGACCGGTGAATGACAGGCAGAGAGAGAGAGAGAGAGAGAGAGAGAGAGAGAGAGAGAGAGAGAGAGAGAGAGAGAAGAGAGAGAGAGGAAGGGTCTTCAAAAAGCCTCAGTTTAGCTGGAAATTTACAGTGCAAGTTGAATGAATAGAGACTGCAGCTCTGCAGCTTCTCAAGATTAAAGAGGTGGTATTATGCTCATTTTCAGGTTCAAAATCTTAATTAGGGGTTGTACGAGAACAGGTTTACATGATTTATTTTCAAAAACACCATATTTTTCTATACTGCACATTGCTGCAGCTCCTCTTTTCACCCCATGTGTTGTACGCTCCGCTCTTGAGCTACAGAGTGAGGCTTATGATACAGGGGGCAACTTTTTGAGCAATGTTGATGGGCAATCTTACCAGAGGCAAGTCCGACTATGTTTTAAATGGATAGCGGCGGTGCGGGGCAGGTAGTGGAGTGGTGGGGGAAGGGGATTACGATTAATCTTTACCCATTACCATTGACAAGTTGCCCTGCACGATTGCTGTAAAAGTTGCTCTGTATATCATCAGCTTAATGCATCTTACTTGTACAAAATCTTTGTTGGGAGTTGCACATGCGCAGTTCCCAGGTAAGGACTACTAGCCAATCAGAAGCAGAGAAGGGCGGGTTGTAAAAAACAAGTGTAATCCAAATCAAAGCCGCTTCAGACTGGCACCTTAACAGATGGTATAAGTTGCTTGCAAGTCCACAACCACACAACATCATTGTTCCACATCTTACCATCAGGACTAAACGTTGAACTGTTGCCGGTGTTCTGAAGATCTATGCCGCCTTGCCGAAAAATTCTACCATAGCGCAAATCGAAAGACTCGACTCTACTCGGCCCTGCTCCGTGTTCCATTGCAGATAGTACCCAATTGATTTGCCGCGACGCAATGTTCAATGCGACACACACACCAGCGATCCACACAGCTTTCTCTTTTTAAGTTAAAACGTTTCAACATTACTCAGAATCTAAAGACAGATAAGTCTATGAAAACCTTCCAGCTGTGTTTTCCTCTGCCGTTGTTGCTGCAGCGGTCTGTGTGACGGCGGGAGCAGAGGGCTCTGTGAGCGGGCGGCTTGTAGATCATAAAGTGAAGTGTTGTAGGTTTCATGTGAATAAGAAGACAGAGATGAAGTTTATAAAATATCTGAAGGTGAGGAGCAAAAATTAAATGTGACATACAATAAATATCCTCCCTGTAGATTTAGGGATGCTGAACTAATATACAAATATGATGATGATTAACTGTTCATATAATTGCTTAGATAAACAATCTCTCTGAACAAGGAATACCACTCGCACTGAAATCTATGTTTCATCATGTTAGCTATGCTTTTATTTTGAAAGGTAGGACAGGAATCTAAGGCTTCCTGTTACACTACAACAGCTTCTGGCCGCACAAAAATAATTTTACACGCACACACTCAGATACCCCTGTATTTCAGTGTATATGCGCACATAGTCAGTGCGTGTGTGATAGTTTTCAGTGTATGTGGGCACATTGTCAGAGCGTATGTGACAGTTTTCAGTGTATGTGGGCACATTGTCAGTGGTTGTGTGACAGTTTTCAGTGTGCGTGTGTCTGTTTTTTAATGTTTTCACCCTAATCAGCCTCTCATAGGTTGCCGCAGGCTTCCCCCGCAGCCACTTGCGGAGCTCCTCAACTCCGAAAATATTCAAGCATATTTTTGTTCTGCCATCACTTCTCGTAAAACTGTCAATATTCGAAATCTACACAGCTGATTTCTCACCTCAAAACTTCTCAGAAGTGGATTTACTGATGAAATTCCATACGAAAACTGTAAAATATAAAACTTTCTCTTGCTGGCCTCTGTCTGGTGTGTGAAATGATGATGCAGTGAATAGTGACGATTCTCTCTGACCAATCAGCAGTCTGTCACGTTTTCACGTTTCATTTTAGTATCCAGCTCGCTTGGAACCTCGATGGAGGTGAGGTATACGAAAAAAGTACCTGGAAGCAGGTACAGGTGCAACATTTCTACAAAGGAAAACCAAACAAAGGCGAGTGGAGCCTCCACTCAGACTAGCTTGGTTTGAGGGCGTGCCTGACCCCCGCTTGGCTAGCTTATGATGCGTTTTCATTGTGACGTCACAAGCAAAGGAAGTGAAGTGCTGGACTACAAAGAGCTGTTTTCAAGTGGTTCAGAGCAGTGCTTTCTGTGGGAGATGGGAACTCCCTTTGGGCTGGACTTTGTGCTTTTTCACTTTGCAAATCTGTTGCATGCACAAAAAAGATACATAACTCAATAAAGGAGAGGGAAAAAGCCAAAAAGCATAATACCACCTCTTTAAAGCGGAGCTACCATGTGGAACACCCCCCCACACACACACACACACACACCCGCAATCACTGCGCACAAAAAACACACATGATTCGACTACAGGCAGGACTTGATGATTCTGATTCAACTCTGTAAATCCTTAGTCAGGGACAGCCCTAATGAGTACTTATACTTTTGGTGCCTTTGTCTCAAGTGTGTCTCTTAGTCCCTTCCTGCTGCCAAACACTCTCATTCCCAGCCCTCTGCATTACGCTCTCTGTCCGTCCCTGTCTCCAGTCCCTGGTCTCTCAGGCCATGTTCTTTTCTTCAACTCCCCAGACCTGCCATCCTCATTCCATCCACCAGATCTCCTCTGACTTTCCCTCCTTTCCTCTTCACCTGACTGCCCCACCCATTCACATACCTGTTCCCGCTTCTTATCAGGCCTACAGTTACCAGGCCTTTCTTTCTCACTTGTTTCCACTCTCCCTTATTAGCCTTACTTAACCAGCCCTTTTACTCACTCCTTGCCAGAACGTGCTGTTATGCTGCTGTGTGCTTATGAGTTGGTTCATTTTCTGCCATTACCTGGATTTGACATTTACCTGTTTATTGGACTTTGGATTCTTTCCTACTCCTTTCTGGACTTGTTTGCTTGTGTTGGACTTTTCTCTGGTTTTGATCCATCCATGCTTCTCCACCTCCATTTTGTGTGATTAAATCATTGACCTGCACCAGAACTGCCTCAGTCATCTGCATTTGGGTCCTACCCATGTATTCCTGCTGCCCTTCTTGCACCAGCCTGCTTTCTGGCCTGCTAACCTATAAACCTGCACCCCAGCCTGCTTCCCAAGTCAGCTAACCTCCAGCATGATGGCCTTCCCTCCACCTGCCAGCAACCAGCCTTCTCTCTGTACCCAAGCCTGCTAGCCTCCAGCCTTCACTCTGGTCTGCTAGAGGCCTTCTGCACTCCCGTCCTCACACTGCACTCCAGCTGATTAAGCTCAGTTTCGTGAGCGTGCCTATCCTGAGCTGGCTAGCCCGCTACCTGTAGTCCTGCATTCCCTGAACCCCATGAGCCTTTGATGGAACAGTTGTGGAGCAGCCCTGATGTCCAGCGATCACCTTTTGGGAATCACCTGGACATTTTCAGGGGGTACCGTGGAGTCCACAAGAGAAGGCGTTGTCCCCGTGGCTCCACACACTGATAGCTCTCTCAACTGCCCAGTGCAACAGAACTACCACCGGTCCTGTCTGGTTCCCAGTCCTGCTGAGATGCACCAACCTCTTGTTCACATAGGGCTGAAGCAGTCTTCAGTGCCCACGCAGCAGCCGTTACCTGCCACTGAGCTGCAGCAGCCTCTTGTTCCGCCTCACCATCTCGTAAGCCTCCATTTTGTGTGATTCAATCATTAAACTGCAAAAGGTCTGCCTCAATCGTCTGCATTTGGGTTCTACCCCTGTATTCCTGCTACCCTCCTTGCTCCAGTCATGACAACTTTAAGTATATTTTGATACTAAAACTATGTGTCAACTATGTGGTCCAAAGAGGGACTCCCTATCTGCAGAGCTATCTGAAGTATCAAGTTTTATGCTGGAGGGGGATAAACAACAGCCAAAGGATTTTTCACAACTTGGCAACCCATATGTTTTCTTAGTAGTCTACTCATAACATGCTATCAAATGATCACAATGTCCTGTAAAATCAATTCAGCATCTCCACAATGTTGCTTGATTGAAGCCTGTATTCTGTATGATTAATTGACAGTTCAGAACAACATAATTTCTTAATAAGAAAGCAGTAAAGTATTAAAAAATGGCCAGTTGATGAGTTAACTAACGGTTTAGAGCATACTTAAGTAATTATTTGTGATGTATTCTTAGACTACAAAAAAGTTCCCACGATTCCATTCATGCCTTCATGCCTTCTTTGCATACCAATCATTCAGTTGTTAAACCCAGAGAGGCTGAGCTCACATGCACAACAGGTGATTTCCTCACCCATCCTCTGCATGATCTGATGATGCAACTAAACCTCTAAGAACAAAAACAAAATGTAATCTACTCATCTTCATCACAAAGGACAACACTGTCAAAATGACTTCTGGGATACTTTTGTAGACCTGAGAGCTCTGTATGTATTGCTCATTTACTGTTAAATGACACCATTTATGACACACAAAAATTACCTATAATCGGTTGGTATCCTGACATTTAGCTTGCCATTTACAATGTGGACAAACTGCAATCACAACATTTTTGAGGCCAAGGGAGGAACACGCCCACAGTTTCTTCAGAGGTACCAACAAAAAGCAGTTCTGTGTTACTCTGAAGCGTCACTATGACTCATATTGGGAACCTGCTCTAGCTACCAAAAGCTGGGATTTCACGAGCTGGTAAGGACAGATTTTTATTTATTTCAGTCAGGATGATAATATATTCCTTTTACAACTCAGTATTACTTCTTGTTGGGTATCAGCTTTCAAAAGCTTCTGATATATGTAGGTTATTATTGGCATGTGAAACTTCTGGTTATGCTTTCATTGGTGGTGAGAAATTACTTCCTTTTGTGTGACAAAAATGTTTGTGTTCTTAGGAAGCAGCAAGAAAAAAAACATTCCAAATGATGGCAGGTAGTTAATAAATATTCAGAAGAAACCAAATAATTCTAAAAAGTTACTATTCAGTCCTGTTAGAGCTATCTTTCCTGAAATGTTACTATTGTATCTGTATAGACCATGGAGACCCTTGTGATGGGTGGGAAGCCACCTTCTGCATGAATGGAGGGACATGCTATAAAATACCTTCCATGAACACACTCTCCTGTGTGTAAGTTAAATACAGAACTCAACTTTTTTAATTGTCTTTGACATTAGAATGTGTTTCTTTTATAGAAATATGTGCTGATGTCACAACATGCGAATATTGTTGACAAATTTCCTCTGTGCTGACAAGTGAAGGCCCATTTTGTTGTACGTCATATCTTACTTCAGGTGCAATGACAGTTACAAAGGCAGCAGATGTGAGCAGCACCAGCTCTTCAGCATTTCCACCAATGCAGGGGAAGCAGGATTAATTGCAGCTGTGGTCATTGTTGCCCTCCTCATCTTAGTGATCCTGGCAGTTGTTATCTACTACATACGCAAGTAAGTACATTACGAATTTAAAATTAGCCTACCAATGTTCTCAAGGTGTCTTAAGATAGCTTTAGGATGTGCTTGTTGTGTTTTATTTGTTATACAGTATTGGTATTATTGTACTTCAGCCACAATATATTCTTTAAAGCTAATAACCATTACTTATGTTTACACCAGGATGTTGAAAGCCAAGCAGCAGAGCCAACAGAACAATCCACAAGAGTATTGGAGAGTAAACCAAGAGTATGATCTTTCTTCTGATGTACATGTTTGTATTTTGGCTATGTGTTGGATTGGATTATGAAATAATTCTCAGTGTCACTTGCTTTGTTGGACTTGTACTATTTTGGATATCACTACGAAAGACTAATAGAGGAAAACTGCTGCACTGACCTCAACTAAACGCCACAAGGCAGGTGAAGAACTGATAGCTGATTGTCTCATGAGATTTCTGGAATCACACCTTGCACAGCAGCCTTTTTGACACAGCTATGAAGTTGGCACTGGTGTTACTTGTGTTAAATCACATTTCAATATGTGTGCTTTGTCTGAAATGTATTTACAAGCATAATGAATGAATATACTCAATATTCTATCTTTTCTAAATGTGTAAATATATGCAATGATCCCTACTGGAATGATTTGACCGTGATTTCTGCTAGAACGAACACACACACACACACACCCTGATGGACTAGTCATTGGCCATTCGCCATCAGCATTCCTAACCTCAACATTTAGCCTATTCTTAATCTTAAAACCATAATTGCCCATTACAGTAGTCAGGACTGGTCAGAATGACCCCCTTTCAAAAATTGTGTCACTCCAGTTTTATAACTCAAATTGGCTCTCACAAAGCTGGACATAAAGAAACACACACAGAAAACTGACTGATACATTGTGTGTGGGAGTCTGTATAATTAGCATATCCCAAACCACTCATCAGTTCCTTTAAATCTAAAACGGGCACAGGGGATCCCTGGAGATTCATATGAGAATGGCGGTATAAAATATACTTTCAGTCAGTGAGCTTAGGAGACAAACTTGTTGGACTGCATTTCCAACAGTTTGTTAGTCTT